ATAAAATCAGTGCTTTAGCATGTGACTGACTAACAGAGTAGATAAACTGGTATATCAGAGAGTAGGTGATGGGCTTTCGGATGAAGGAAATATTATAAGAAATCACAGGGCCAATTACTAGTAAGGAGATTGAAACAGTAATCACAAACCTCCCAATAAACAAAAAGCCAGGACCAGATGGCTCCCCTGGTGAATTCTACCAAACATTTAAGAAGAATTAATACCAATCCTTCTCATTAACAGCTCATTAACTCTGCCCCGTCCTGGAAGACGGAGCTCAGACATGGCATCCACAGGTCCACGGGAAAGGAACAAGGCCAGTGCTGTTGTGAAACAGGGCGAGTACTCCCCTGGGAGGCACAAGAGCCATCTTCAGGTTAGGTCTTCTGCTAACTAGCTGTGCAACTATGGAAAATGGACATTTTATTGGGTATATACAGGCAGCATACTGAGCAAGAAGGGGCACAGAATCATATAACCATGTACGTCCCAATCCTCCCAAGTCTGGAGGTGGTTTGGGTCTAGATTTCCTAAAAGATGCATTCCTCTCACTTTTTTTTTTAAGAGTTTTTATTGATTTTTAGAGAGAGAGGAAGTGAGAGGGAGAGAGAGAGAAACATCAATGGGAGAGGGAAACATCGATTGGCTGTCTCCTGCACACCGCCTACCGGGAATCCAACCCACAACCCAGGCATGTGCCCTGACCAGGAATCCAACCAGCAAACTTTCTGTGCACGAGATGATGCCCAACCAACTGAACCACACCAGCCAGGGCCAATCATTGCACTTTTAAGAGACTCAAGATCTTTTGGAAGTATTCTTATCATTATAGCAAAGTACTTAATTCTACAGGGCTGCAATCATCCGGTCAACGGGCTTGTCCACAGTTTTCCATCACGCTGATTTCAGGAGTTCCTCTTGGTGCCCAGCATCTGCACAGAGAAGAGTTTCTGGACGTAGGGTTCAGTTAGGGCCCTTGATTAAATGCTGTCCTAAAGCACACTTAGGTTGCACGTGGTCTAACACTACACCAATCCGGAGCCTTTCATATGAATCACTTTCTTTTGAGGATGTCTGGTAAAACTCTCCTTCGATAAGAAAATTCCACTTCGCTGTTACAGCGAATTCCTTTGACCTCTGTGTTCCCAGCCGCCTTGGCCAGCTCATTGCTCCATGAGGACACTCACTGAGTATCACACAGGCATTACTCTTCTAGCCAGGCCTCTGTCTCAAACCTCCTTGACCTGTTCTGTACCTAAGGCCCCTCCCCTGCATTCAGGACAAGTCTG